TTAGCAGGTTAGCATCAGCAGTTTAACATTAGCAGGTTAGCATCAGCAGTTTAACATTAGCAGATTAGCGTCAGCAGTTTAACGTTAGCAGGTTAGCGTCAGCAGTTTAACATTAGCAGGTTAGCGTCAGCAGTTTAAGATTAGCAGGTTAGCGTCAGCAGTTTAATGTTAGCAGGTTAGCGTCAGCAGTTTAACATTAGCAGGTTAGCGTCAGCAGTTTAATATTAGCAGGTTAGCTTCAGCAGTTTAACATTAGCAGGTTAGCGTAGGCAGTTTAACATTAGCGGGTTAGCGTCAGCAGTTTAACATTAGCAGGTTAGCATCCGCAGTTTAACATTAGCAGGTTAGCGTCAGCAGTTTAACATTAGCAGGTTAGCGTCAGCAGTTTAACATTAACATTAGCAGGATAGCAACAGCAGTTTAACATTAGCAGGTTAGCGTCAGCAGTTTAACATTAGCGGGTTAGCGTCAGCAGTTTAACATTAGCAGGTTAGTGTCAGCAGTTTAACATTAGCGGGTTAGCGTCAGCAGTTTAACATTAGCAGGATAGCAACAGCAGTTTAACATTAGCAGGTTAGCGTCAGCAGTTTAACATTAGCGGGTTAGCGTCAGCAGTTTAACATTAGCAGGTTAGCATTTGCAGTTTAACATTAGCAGGTTAGCGTCAGCAGTTTAACATTAGCAGGTTAGCGTCAGCAGTATAACATTAGCAGGTTAGCGTCAGCAGTTTAACATTAGCAGGATAGCGTCAGCAGTTTAACGTTACCAGGTTAGCATCAGCAGTTTATTATTAGCATGTTAGCATCAGCAGTTTAACATTAGCAGGTTAGCATCTGCAGTTTAACATTAGAGGGTTAGCATCTGCAGTTTAACATTAGAGGGTTAGCATCAGCAGTTTAACATTTGCAGGTTAGCATCAGCAGTTTATTATTAGCAGGTTAGTGTCAGCGGTTTAACATTAGCAGGTTAGCATCAGTAATTTAATATTAGCAGGTTAGCATCTGCAGTTTAACATTAGTAGGTTAGCATCAGCGGTTTAACATTACCAGGTTAGCATCAGCAGTTTAATGTTAGCAGGTTAGCATCAGCAATTTAACATTAGCAGGTTAGCATAAGCGGTTTAAGTTTAGCAGGTTAGGATCAGCAGTTTAACATTAGCAGGTTAGCATCAGCATTTTAACATTAGCAGGTTAGCATCAGCGGTTTAACATTAGCAGGTTAGCATCAGCAGTATAACATTAGCAGGTTAGGATCAGCGGTTTAAAATTAGCAGGTTAGCATCAGCGGTTTAACATTAGCAGGTTAGCGTCAGCAGTTTAACATTAGCTGGTTAGCATCAGCAGTTTAATATTAGCAGGTTAGCATCCGCAGTTTAACATTAGCAGGTTAGCGTCAGCAGTTTAACATTAGCAGGTTAGCGTCCGCAGTTTAACATTAGCAGGTTAGCGTCCGCAGTTTAACATTAGCAGGTTAGCGTCAGCAGTATAACATTAGCATGTTAGCGTCAGCAGT